GCAGTGTTAACATGCCGCTTTATGGTACCTGGCGAGACAAGGGAGGCTGGCTGGGGGGCGCACAGGGCACCCGCAATGTGAACAGCCATCATTATCGAAAAATCAAAAGCGCACTTAAAAAATAAACTAAAACCTTTTTATTTAAGATTTACTTACTTATGCATACAGAACTGAGATACAGGCCAGAGGTGCAGGAAAGGTGAGAGGCTTCACCAGAGACAGAGTGGGGAGCAGCAGGTGACACAGGAGAGGTCTGCCTCGCCATGTGGGTCAGCTCCCAGCCAGGGTTGAACTCCAGCCAGGAGTCAAACTCATCCTGAAGCTGCTGCCTCTAGCTTCCTATGCCACGCTTTAATCTGTTGTGCCATCAAGGAGGGCCCTAAAAACAGGGTTTTTTCCTAACATTATTCAAACAGCAGAACTAGGGTACAGATTTAACAAACACATGGGAGAAAGGAATCTAAGAAACAGTCACTTCCCAATGACACCCCCTAAAGACAAGAGAGGATGACAGCAACAGAGGATGTGTCCCGGGTGTGTGGCCTTCGGGGACCCACCCAGCACTCAGGGGCCCAAGGAGACAGCCCAAGTGCTGTCAGTGGGTCACCTCCTCCAGCCTGCTCTGACTTCCCCAGGGGCCCCAGCCTGGGCTGTTCCATTCCAGGGTCCCAGCCTGTGGACAGTAATTTCTGGCCAAATAAAGTCAAGGGAGACAGCAGACTTATCTCATCCTTAGAAATCTACTGTGTCTGTAGGTGTGTGAATAACTGGGAAAAGCCAATGTCGTAAAGAAACCGGTTTGTGCAAACAGCCTGATTATTAGACTTATTTCACCAAAGAACACTCTAGCTGATTTCATGTGACTAAAGCATCGTAGTGAGTTGCACTCCAGTCTGCTAAAAAGGTGCCACGGACTATAAATAAAGCTTCCTGGCCTCATGGCAAACTGTGTTCAAATCCTGAATGAGGCCAGCAGGTACTTGAGCAGCAGAAGGATGGGACTTCTCTGTGCCTCTGAAGAAAAAGAATACAGCAGCCCTCAGGTTTATCATTTTGGAGTGTTTGTTGTGTGCTGGGCATTGTGCTAAGTGGCATTTAATGATATTCCAGTTACTCTTTAAAGCAACCGTTTACAGATACCATTGTCATCAGCGGAGTTGAGCTTGGCGTTGCTATCAAGGGGCTGGCTGCAATGACAACCAGGTGTGACTCCCAGAGCAGCAATGCCTCCTGAGAGGGGCGGAGAAAGTGCCAGAGAAGGTTGTCAGAAACAGGTGGTGAGAAGAGACCTGTTTAACCAGTCCTAACTTTCACCCCAAAGTCCTGTTGTAAGGAAGAGAATCAAGCTTCACTCTGGCCACTCTTTGACTGTTACTCTTTGCTTTATGTTTCTAGAACATGCAAAGCGCTCTCTGTTCCCTTTGCCCAGAACAAGTCTCTTCTGTTCCCTGTGCTAACTCCTATTCATCCATCAATTGTCATGTCCTTCTGGAAGTCTTCCCCCACCCTCAGGCCTGAGATAGAAAGAAGTTCCTCCGATGGAATGTCAGAGCCCCTGATTGCCCACTCATAGCACACCTCCAAGCACGACCTCTCCAGCTATACTGTGAGGTCTGACTCCTCCAAAGTCACAGCATATGCCTGGCACACCATAAATGTTCGCTAAGTACAGAATAAATTAACTATCAGCCGCATCACACAGGATCCCTCTACCATCCCCAGTCACTGCTTGAAAGTGGACAACTGCTAAATAAGCCAAAAGGTACTTCCTTTTTATTGTGAGCATCACGGTGAAGCAGAGAGGCTCTGTGGGAGGGAGATCTGGGTTCAAATCCTGACTCAGCCAAATGACCTAAAGCAGGTAACTTTAGCATCAAGGAGACTCATTTTCGTAGTTACTCATGGAGATGTAATTACTGCCCAATTCACAGGGCTACTGCAGAATCCAGCCAGGAAAAGCATGACTGTGTACAGCAGAAGGCCAGGCCGCAGCATCGATGCCCAGAATATAATAGACATTAATTATCACCATGAGAGGAGGAAAATGAGGACAAAAGGTAACTAGAAATAGTCAAAAGTTCTCAACACCTAAAAAAAAGGACGCAAGCAACTCCTACCACTCCAAGCTTTTTAAGAGGAAGGTACCAAAAGGTAGCACTGAAAAACAGGGACAAAAATCAAAAAGAAGGGCCCCCCTGGTGCACACGGGGTTAAAGCACAGCACTATGAAGCTCTCCACAGACACTGCAGTTCCCCTCAGTTCCATCCTGGCCAGAGAGGTGCAACACATGCAACAGACCTCCACTGACCCGCCTGCCGCTCCCCTCAGCAGTGTACTTCATCCATCTGCCTGTTCTGTTCCCCCCTCTGTCTCTGGTGAATCCTGTCACCCCCACCCCTGCACCCCTGGCCTGTACCCCAGTTCTTGTATGCATAAGTAAATCTTTTTTAAAAAAACCAAAGAGACATTGAAAACATTAATCCAACTCATGAATAACCTATATCTCGGTGGATAGACAGCCAAAAAAAGTCAAAATGCAAATTATAAGGAAATTCTCCCCACCCCCGCCCCAATGTCTTAAGTAATTGAACTTCTCTAAATGTAGAAACTCCAAAATGCACACTGAATGGATTTAATTCATAGACCATCTTGCTCGAACTTGAAGCTTGTCAGACCCTGGATATTTATTTCTATTAATAAGTCCTGCCCATGCAAGTAAGAACAGCCAAAACAAGTTTACATGAAGCTACTAGAAAATGCATAGATTCCAGACTTGGGGAGATAAATGCTTACATTCAAACACATTTGCAATTTGGCTACAACTTTAAATGACTCCAGTTAATAGTAAGATGAGCCAAAAAAACAAAAAAGAAAAAAAAAAGGCTTAACATTCAAGACAAATCATAATTAGCTGCTAGTAATAAGATGAGCCAAAAAAAAAAAATCTGCACACTGAAGACAAATCTCAACTATTTTTAAATGGTGGTAACTTTATTATTACATAAGCATATTGGACATAAAGCTGAAATTTTATTTCCTTTGAATTTTAAGTCATTTTAGGGAAGGAAACATGGAGCATGATCTTCTGGGGGTGGGGGAAGAAAGTTTAGCTTTGCAAATTTTATCATGACAAGGGCTTAATCTCAATATGATAATGACCAGGGCCCCTCCCTGGTGGCACAATGGGTTAAATCAAAGCACTATGAAGCTACCCAAAGCTACTGCAGCACAAGTTCCATCCCCAGTTCAGGGAGCTGACCCACATGATGCAGCAGACCTCTCCAGACCAGCCTGCTGGTTCCCCTCAGTAGATTTCAGTGTATTTCAGTAGATCTGCCAGGTCTGCTCTCCTGGTAAAATAGTAATAATGTAATAGTGTCTATGTCATTTGAGGTATTTGTGAAATGGCTCCTGCAAGATTATTTAACATTTAAGTTGCAGGGAAGTGGATCTATCCTGTAGTTACTACAGAAGATTTAATTTAAAAACATAAAAAAAAAAAGGCCCTCCCTGGTGGTGCAGTGGGTTAAAGCACAGCACTATGAAGCTAAAGCCACTTCAGCATGAGTTTCATCCCGCCTGCCCCAGAGGTGACCACATGGCGCGGCAGACCTCTCCTGACCCGCCCACTGCTCCCCTCAACAGTGTACTTCCTCGATCTGCCTGTTCTGCTCCCCACTCTGTCTCTGGCGAAGCCTCTGGCAGCCCCTGAGCCTCTGGCCTGTATCCCAGTTCTGTATGCACAAACAAATAAATCTTTAAAAAAAATTTATATATATATAAAATAAATGACAGAGACAAAATTTCTTCTTTCCCCAGTAAGATCTTCAAAAACATACCACCCTCCCATGATTGAGCAACATTAAGTAAAACCCAATTTAAGGAAACTTAGTCTTTATTAATGTCAAAGAAAACAGAATACACCAAATTACCACAGCTATTAATCATTTATATAGCCACATAAGCATATTATATATGCTATTATAGATCTACATAAGCATATTCTGTGGTAGGACAAAAGTAATTCAAGTTTTCCCATTTGGATTTCTGTGCCATTATGACCTATACCATAGACTACAGACCACAGACTTATACCATAGGCCACAGGTTTATACCACAGGACACAGGCTTATACCACAGACCACAGACTTACACCATAGAGCACAGACTTACACCAGAGGACACAGACATATACCATAGGCCATAATCTTATACCATAGACTTACACCATAGACCATAGGGTTAAAAAGCTTCACAGAATATTCTCTCTAACAAAAGCACAAACAAGAGGTATTAGCCTCAGCTTAAACTTAGATTTGCCAAAATCTGAGAATCTTAGAAACCACTAAGATACACAAAATTGAAGGTAGATGGTTTCACCTCTTTAAAGACACAAAGCGGCCTAACAAACTGCCCACTGAAGTCCCAGCCCTCAGCCACCTCAAAACTCTCAAACTGGAGGGGATCCCAAGTTTGCTGTCAGCACCAGCAGCCAATGCCTCCAGCAAGGTGTTCCCCTCCAAAAGCCAAGGCAAAATGAGAAATGTTCTCTTCGCATTCTCAGACCATGACCTCTGTGATCGCTGTCACATTTGAGAAAATCTGATTAATTAAACTGCCTTGAAATGAATCTCATAGACTTTCCCATAAGTTCTTACAAATCATACGCTCAGCCCAACAAAGGTGAGAAATAAGCAAATAAGTGCAAAGAACAGGGAATACCACACAGAACATGTGCTCCCGGAGGGGCTGGGTGAGAGTAATCTCTCCCACATTAAGAGCATTATAAAAACTTCAATTGTGCAAACATAAATTATCCTCCTTTGGACTTTCAATGAACAAATACTCTAATTAATCTTAGGATCAAATGATTATCAGAATGTTGAAAAAAAAAAAGTAAAACACAGGACTAGAGCTTCATGAACACAAAGCAATCAAAACCAAAGACGGGAAAGCCCCTCAACTGCCAAATAGTTTGTGAAAAGATGATCCCACTTACCAGCACTTTGTTTTCGACTTTGTCTCCTTTGACTTCCAACTTGACTTTCTTCTTTACTGCAATTTTTATCTTCCTGCCAATAACATCCTTGATGCTTTCTGAAAGGGAATAGTTTTGTTAGAGTCTTTTATTAATTAGAGGCGGGGGAAAGAGTCAGGGAAGAGCCAGCTTTTGGAGAAATATTTGGGGATGTTGCTATTGCTCTTTGCCCCTTTTATTTACTTTATAAGCACAAGGTTCTCAAGTCTCAAACCCTTAATGACCACCTACTATGTGCTTGTCCGGTGACTCAGGCTGTGAAGCCAAATACAAAAGCCTAAGACATACAGCAGTCCCTGCAAGGAATGAGATGCCCAGAAGTCAAGAGCAATGCCAAGCAGCATCAAGGGATGCTGCCTGCAGACAGCATAAACGCAGCTGGAAGTCATCCGCTTGGCCTTTCGCAGGTTCCCATTGGCCGCCATTAGCCTCTGCATCACCACAGTCCCATCCAAGTATTATCATACCCTTTGAGTGTCTGCACATTCAGCTGGGAAATACCACTGACAACCAGAACCCACTCAGGGAAGGGTCTCCTGACCATCCGTCCTTCCTAAAACAACACTCCAGAGAGCAGGCAAAAGCAACAAAGAATTGAGCTGCAACCACTGGAAACTTCAGGAGATGGCAGGAAGCTCTGTCATGAGTATCCCAAACTGAACAGGTCCCACCTCAAACTCACTCTCCTCCTCACTACTCCTCTTTCCTTTAATGAAGCTTGAAAATCTTGCTGATCTTCTAGTCCTTTCTCTCAAAGAACCACAGCCTCCTTAAGGCTGTGGCACAGCCCCAGAAGCTGCCACCAGGACTAAGGGCTTAAGCGCTCATCTGTCAGCACTGTGACCCCCCAATAAGCAAAGACCACCCAAAACCACAGAGCTGGTGGCTCAGTCTTGGTCTATGAGTCAGTCACCTGGGGATGATGCCAAATCTTGATGCTTGTCATTCAATTTCTTTAATTGTTTAGTTTAATTTCTCAACACACACTGAAAGAGCCAATCATCACTATTGTTTCCATCTTTCACCCCAACCCCCACACCAATTCAGTATTATTCTCTTGCCTGGGAGGATGGCTTTCTCCTATTCTCTCCTGGTTATATTCTACTTGCATTAAAAAAAAAAAAAAAAAAACTAGAGATGGCCCCTTTCGAACTGACCATCTATTTTAGGATCAGATGGATGCCATTCAGCAAATTTACACTCACTACCGTAAGATCACAGGCAAAAAAGTTACCTGAGGTTTCAGGAAGCAGGGGATCCTGAGCTGAGTCCTTGGGGAAAAGAACCAACCACTGGTGTCCAAAGTCTACTATGTGACCCCTACCACTGAGGCGCAGCAAGAAAATGGACTTGTTCCTTCTCTTGCCACGTCTGTTTCCATTTGCCTTACATCATACCCACTCAACGACATAAGCCTGTAGTTTAAAAAATACATTCATGGGCCCTCCCTGGTGGCGCAGAGGGTTAAAGCACAGCACTGAGAATCTAGAGCCGCTTCTGCATGAGTTGGATATCCGCCTGCCCCGGAAGTGACCACATGGCGTGGCAGACCTCTCCTGACCCACCCGCTGCTCCCCTGAGCAGTGTACTTAGTCGATCTGCCTGTTCTGTTCCCCACTCTGCCTCTGGTGGGGCCTCTCACTGCCCCTGAGCCTCTGGCCTGTACCCCAGTTCTATATGCACAAATAAATCTTAAAAAAAAAAATAAAAAAAAATACATTTATGGTGGGGTGATCAGAAGGCTGCAAACTGCAGCACAAGGTTTAGAGCCATCAAGTTAGATAAGAGGGAAGGAGGTGCAGAAAGGGCTGCAGCCCCCACAGAGCAGGGCAATGGACAATGGAAAGCACAGTTCCAGGAACAATAATGAGGTGGAGATGTGGGGGGAGGGGCTTTGGGAGTGGGGGCATGTGCTGGGGCTCCCTGTACTGGCGTTCTGTTCTTGGTGAGCCTCTTATCTTATCAGAAGTGAACAGAAGTACAAGCTCCTCTTCCCTCTCCTAAGAAGTCAGGGAAAGATTGTCTGGAGGTGATTTAAGAATATACAGAGGCTGGAGAGTTAAAAAGAAAAGGTTCAAAGTGGCTATGGATGAGTGGCTGTGTGAATGTTTTATCCCTCTTGTTCTTCTCTGTATTTACATTTTTAAATATAACTTTTATCATCAGATAAAGTCTGTGTAGACTTATATCATCAGAAAGACAGGCATTTTGGGCTTCAGGTAATCTGGTGTGGTTTGCACATGGTTGCCATTTTGAATTGATGAGCACTTGAAATTAGAGAGCAAAGCAGGTGCAGGAATTTCCCCCTTGACTCAGGAAAACAAATCAGGTACATCCCAAAAGCTCTGGGGTTCCGTTGAAAGCTGTATTAGACGGGCAAGGCTCCATAAATTTTTTTTTAAAAGTCTATTTCTAGATAAAGTTCAATTCAACTTTGAAAATACACCAAAGTATTCCTTTAGCGACCCCTCAATATAAACCAAGAACGTTATTTCCATGCCACCCCTCACAACCATTCTCTGGGGTGTAATGAATTACCTCAATTTCTCATCAGTCTTTACATATTCCCAGCCTTGGCCAGAGAGGCAAGCACTCCCCTAAATTATTTCTCAGGATGGGGGGTGGGAGGCCATCTTTGAGGGCCTGGGCTTTACTCTTCAGGTGACTGGGTTGTTGGAAAAGTATGGCACTCCCAGAACCGGATGGGCCACTCATGATAGCCAAGGCAGGTGATGGTTTATCTCGGGAGCTCGCTCCACAGGATTAGAGGGAAGAGCCTCGGAATATAATGGGGGGAGGGAGGATTTGGGGAGACAGGGGGAGTAACTTTACACCCTAAATTCGATTAAAGAATTAGATGGGTGTCGGTTTGTTGGTTTGTTGGTTTTTTTTTAATTCGATAAAAGCAGAAGCTTCCATAGAAACCTAAGACTCTCGACATCAAGTTTTTAACCTGCTGAGTTAAAAGTCACTAACGGAAGAGCAGAAACAAACTCCTCGGAAGTATTAGGTCTAAAAGCAGAAACAGCGGTGTGATTCCTCAAACGCGGGTGATTAGAACTTCCTCTTGTCAACATCATCTCTCTGAGCAGCAGGCTGTGCAGTGTGCCAAAGATGGTACAGTGAGGAATGTAGGTCACTGGGGCTCAAAAATGCCCCGATACAGGCACACATACCTTATGAAAGTACAGCCACTCACACACACACAGACACGCTTACATGCTGGATTTTCGGAACTCTCTTCCCTACCTCATGTTAACTCTGCCATTATAACCCTCCATATAATTAAGTTAAACCCTAACACATAAAAATTCAGCAACACCCCCCTCCAAAAATAAACCTCCAGGGATTCAAACAATGGGTCACCTTGCACAGGGTACCACACGGTGGTTCCCTTTGAGATCCGGGGTGGGAGCTGAATCAGTAGGTTAATTATTATTAAAATAAGGCTTTTATCATTAACCCTCAATTTCCTGGCCCGAGTTTGCGTCAGTCCTGTAACCCTTTGGCTCCCAGCTCGCTAGGCGAAGCCACGCCTTGCCAGGCTCAGTCATTTCAATTACACCCGACTAGCGCCCCCTCCCCCAAGAGTGCAGACGGTGGGGCCCCTCTGGCGGGTCCATTTTCGGGGAGGGGGTTCCCTAGCATGTGCCAGAGACGACCTACTGTGCGTTCGCCAGCTGTCCTCGCTGTGGGCTTCCCCGGACTTGCCCGACTTTGGGGCGATGGGCTGGGCGCTGTAAAGGGCTCTTCGGGCAACCAGACCCGCGGTACCAAAGCAACCTGCCCCTCCTTCCGCCAACCTGGACCCCGAGTCGCGACGGCAGGAGGTGGGGGGCCGGGGGCGGGGGCTCTGGCTGACCAGCGGTGACCTCTCGCTAGGACCGCGATTCCTCCCAGCCCGCCCTCCGCGGATTCGCTTTTCAGACCGTCGGATGCGAGCAAACTTCCAGGCGCCCCCCAGCGACCCTGCCCCACACCCCTCCGCCCCTAGGGGCGCCGAGACTTCGCGGGAGCGGCGGGAAGGCGGTGAGGGGAGGTGGAGGTGGAGGTGAAGAACACGTAGAGGCAGATGGAAAACCAACACCCGCGCGACTCTTACCTATCAACTCCCTGGGAACCTCGGAGCTCTCCTCGGCCATGGTGGCCCTCGGGGTGCGCGGGGGGGATGGCAGGTCCAACTCTGATTTACGGCCCCCCGCCTTCCCCTGAACCCCTCAATCTTTTAGCCGCAGAGGCAGCTTGCAAAGGGGAGTAGTCCAGAAAGCGGGGGCGGAGAAACGATTTTGCCGCGCCCCCGCCCCCTTCCCCCAGAAAAGAGTTGCAAAGGCGAGGTGGGTTTGCTGTGGCGGCTACATGACGCCTCCTGGCAATTCCTGGCGGCGGAGCGGTGACCCGGCTGGATTCCGACCAGAGCGGGGCGACTCGGCTGCGGGCGCGGGCTCGGGGTACGGCTCCGGCTGCGGTGCCGGCTCGCGGCTCGAGGTTCCCGGCTC